CGCGTTTATTAAAAGAATCCCAAAACAGCATAATGCACTCACATTTTAACTACATGTGTCTAAAGTGAATATGAAATAATCTAGCTAATAGTAGTCTTCAGGTGTAACTAGCTCGGACTATGTTATATTAACAAATGGTAAAATCATTTGAACATTAAATATATATATATATATATATATATATTTTTTTTTTTTTTTTTTTTTTTTATTTCCCAAATCTTGATCTAGAAAACCGCTATATAACACTAAGTTAAGCTATTACTCGCCTTTACTAAAGATCGTACCCAAAGCTGCTAAAAACAAACCTGAATATGGCCAAGCATGTTGCTGGCTCTTCGTATAACTTGTCGAGGGTAGACTTCTGTAAGGCTTCAAGATATTCGTATATGTTCGTTTTAAAATGTGCCACGACCACAGTTGGCATCGCAAAAGCTTTATTTTACTCATTAAAATTTGTAGGAAATTCTATTTATAAATTCTCTGGTAACACAAACGCAATATTATTAGTAGTTTTGTTAAATTCTTAACACAACATGGATTCATCCACTTTTTCTTCTGATAGTAGTTGTTATAATCTAAGACCGCAACCTGCCACCTCCCATGTGCGATCGCATTACAAAAAACGAATATCATATTTCCATAATAAAGAGATCGGAAACTTTCAGTTTGGAGTATGTCATTGTATAAGAAGTACGGTCAAACTCCTTTGTTATCACGCCTTAGATCTGAATACAAAAGTTGAATGTATTTGCTACGAAGCTTAAGAATTCTCCTTGGAAGTTTGTTTCATAGTAATGGTTGTTAACATTGGGGTACCGATACTAATGAGGTTGATAACAATGGGATTTGATTGTGCTCTGTTTTAATGTTGAGGTTTCTTTTTTGATTATTCATGCTGTTATATTATAGGTTCAACATCCGATGAAACCACTGCGTTTATCTTACACCAATGATTTAGTATGCGCTTATCGATTACATGAAAAAATGCGAGTTTTTTGCCCCCCGAAAGCTACCGATCATGATTTGATGGAATTTCATATTCCCAGTTATATAACGTTTTTAAAAAAGTAACCGATTTTAGAGTCGCATTTTAATAAATATCAATAGTTAATCACTTGTAATTCTAAATTTATATTATTCATCAAATGCAGTGTCACCCCGGAAAATAGTGAGCAATATTCCTTTGACGCAGACAGATTTAACATCAGTGAAGATTGTCCAATATTTAAAGGAATGTACGATTTTTGCCAAATTTATGCTGGTGCATCGGTGGCTGCGGCTTTACGATTGACGAGTGAAGATACTGACATATGTATTAATTGGAGTGGTGGATTACATCATGCCAAGCACAATGAGGCATCAGGGTTTTGCTTTGTAAACGACATTGTATTAGCTATTCAACAGTTGTTGAGGTTGGTCGTGGTAATTTAATTATATGAGGATTATGTTAGTCAATATAATACTCGATCTAATAATCATTTTTCAAGGGTTTTTCCACGGGTTTTATACATTGATATTGACATACATCACGGTGATGGTGTACAAGAAGCATTTTACGAAACAGATCGATGTATGACTGTATCATTTCATAAGTATAAAGAAAATGGCAAATATTTTCCAGGGACTGGAGGTCTAGGTGAGATTGGAGTTGGATTAGGAAAAAGGTTTTGCTTAAATGTACCACTCAAAGATGGAATGGATGACGAAAGTTATGTCGCTTTATTTAAGGATATTATTACGGATGTTAAAGATCGATATCAACCAAATGCAGTTGTCCTACAATCTGGGGCAGATTCACTTGGAAAGGATAAATTAGGGGGATTCAATCTTAGCATTAAAGCACATGGAGAATGTGTTCGTTTTGTAAAAAATTGGCAAATACCCTTACTAGTTCTTGGTGGAGGAGGATATAAAATCGAAAATGTGGCACGATGCTGGGCTTACGAGACGAGCATACTAGTTGATACAGAAGTACCGGAATCGCTGCCAAAACATGCACAATTTTATAATTTTTTTGGGCCAGACTATTCATTGCATCCACCTCTTGTTAGACGAATCGAAAATCAGAATACCAAAGCAGATTTACAAAAATTGTCACAACATATTCACGAACGTTTGAGATTATTGGATGGAGCACCAAGTGTGCAGTTACATGAATTTTCTAAAGATTTGCAAGAATTGTGGGAAGAATCTGAAGAAGAAATGAGAGATTATCAAGAAGATGCGATTCCAGATGTTAGACCTAGACGACGTTTAATGTTGGGTGGAAATGAATTTTATGATAGAGGTAGCGATCACGAAAATGATGACCAACTAGTAGATGAAGACCAGACTATGGACTATGTTGTAGATAACGAATCATATTAATGTAATTTTATACATGATACTTATGTAGTTATTGCAATTAAAGGATAATTTTTAAAAAAATTGATAATAATTAATTTAATTAATAAAATTTACTAATTAAAAAAACTATTTCTACTAGTTTTATTAACATATTAACCAAAAGATTTGAAATTTTTTAATTATTAAAATTTACTATATGGGGTGCGTCAAACCAAAACACGGATTATGGCATTTTTGCAAAAATGAGTTAACTAGACGGTCGTATAAAGTAGGCACTCTTCTAGATAATTTGATATTTAAAATATGAAATATTATATTCATAACACCGTGTTATTATAACACCTATATAGTTTTACTTAGAGTTAGGGTCCAGTTTTAAGATAAATAAGGGTTTTTTATTATACAATATATATTAGACATAAGGTCGCTATAGGTTCCAACTTCAGTTCTGTGAGGTTTTGGGGGTTTTGAACATTTTTTTACTTAGACAAATAATTGGCAGACACTTGCCTCTTCACACACATGTCTAATATTTGTCAAATTGTTACCAAAGTATCACGAAAGTTAAAGAGCTAGTAGTATTTTATATTACTCAGAACTTAGATAATTTCATATTCACTTTAGACACATGTAGTTAAAATGTGAGTGCATTATGCTGTTTTGGGATTCTTTTAATAAACGCG